ATCGCAAGTGGTGCCATTGGTAAGGTCACGGACTTGGTATAATCCTCGAATTCTCGATTTATCCGCAGTCAATGAGTGCGAGATGAACAACGGAGGTTGTGAGCAGATCTGCACAGACACTTTCCTTTCATATAACTGCAGTTGTGAGGATGGCTACTTGTTGAATGGTGATGGAACATGCTCAGGTGTGATGACATAGCGTGCAAAGAAGCTACAATCTATTTCTCCCTGATGCTTGTTTTTATTATGTTCTGCACCAGATATCGATGAGTGTTTAGGCCAAGACCATGGCTGTGAAGGCATTTGTGTTAATACTGATGGGTCCTTCTTCTGCAATTGTAGCGATGGCTTTCTCCTTAACATAGACGGAAAAGCTTGCACAGGTTTTGCCACCATTATGGAGTACCTTATAAAGTAATAGCGAGATTTGTTTGCTCTTGTAGATATCAATGAGTGTATGGGCGTGGACCATAGGTGTGAATACAGCTGTGAGAACACAGTTGGTTCTTACACTTGTGGATGTGATGTCGGTTTTGAGTTGAATACCGATGGACGAACATGCAGAGGTAGTTCAAAGCACGTTACTGAATCAGGTTCATAATTTTGACATGCACAACACACAGAAACACTTATCTTTACTCTGTTGCTGAGTATGGAGGGCACGGGGCATGAAACGCACGTCGTACCAAGAGTAGATGATGGAATATCTGACCCAATACTTGTGACTGACGGGTTTCCTCTTGGATGCAGCCGTCATTCCACAATCTATGTATGTATCTAACCATGTATGAGTAATAGAATGTAGCTAAACATATTGTTGATTTGCAGGTTGGCACAAATGGCTACTTCGCTTTCAGTGAATTCACAGGATTTACACCATTTCCTTTTTCTGAGGGAAACGAACTTTCACTGGTGGCTCCATTCTTTACCGACATTGACATCTCAAAGGGATCTGGTAGAATTGTGTACCAGGTACACAATAACTTCAGCGACATTTTTTCCAGCCAAGTAGCACAGTATATCAATGTTGCAATAAACACAAACAGATACACTAACTTTAGTGCAGAATGGATTCTCATTGCTACTTGGACTGAAGTATCACCATACAATACCAACAATGTCGTGAGTTGTTCCTATACCTTTTGCCTATATATTTTTTATGTTATTTTTACTACCAGAAAGCTACATTCTTTGGAATATTGGCCACTGATTACCAGAGATCATTTGCTGTCTTCATATATAATTGTGAAAATGGAAATGCAACCTTTTCCAATCGTGCTACTGTTGGATTTGTAACCAGTGATGGTTTCTATGCAAATCACGAAGCTTCCTATGGATGGAATCCCTACCCAACACTATGTCGCAATCATCCAACAAGTCAGTGGGCGCAAATTATCTATGAGATCTCAGGTATAGAATGGCAATTTTGTGAATTTTATATATCGTTCATATTTGGCACCTCCCACAGGTGATGATCCCACCCGTTGCATCTCCTACACAGAGTATTAACTGGCACTTTATATAATAAAATAGTAAAGATAATCGAATGATTGTGTTAATACCATCAGTCTCGACTCTGGTCAACTGTGTGGCGACATCTCTCTATAATAATATTATACTTTCAAAGAGACTAGCTACCTATAGAGGACATTGTCCACATAGTCTAACGATGGTTGTCTGCAAACTGTAATATCTAACATGCACCCTATAATTGGCGAGTGAGGCGAACATCAGAGAGTCGGTAGACTCTCTATATAGGGATGACACGGGTGAAATCTCACGTGATCCGCGTACAAA